GTAACAATATGTACACTTTCCAAAAGTAATGATCATAATATAGAGCAAAGGAGGAGGAGGAGTAAGATGGAAAATACATGACAATAGCTGTTACTCATGATGACACACAAGCATCTAATGGGGATTTTTATGGTTGGGAAAATTGTAACATAGCCCCCATCTTGACCTCTTTGTCTTTGAGACTGGCTATGTCTTGTAGTCTCTTACTAGCTTCTAATATTTACAGCTATTTAGAGTACATAAGGCGCGGCCAGATTTTTTTCGCGCGCGTCAACTTTTTCCGAGGGAATCTTCCGCAGCCTCTTCCTCGTTCAGTTCTTGTCAGATCCTTTAGCTATCCTCAGAATATCATTGCATGTATATATTCTAGCTGCCTGTATACTTTTTATACAAAAATATAGCTATTCCATTATCACGAATCACATCATGTGATCCCGGACCGAAGGCCCGGAACATATAACATCTATATTTCGGGATAAAAAGTGTACAGGCAGCTAGAATACATACTTGTGATGATGTTCTGAGGATAGCTAAAGGATCTGATGAGATCTGGAGGAGGAAGAGGCTGCGGAAGATTCACTCGGAAAAAGTTGACGCGCGCGAAAAAAATCTGGCCGCGCCTTATGTACTCTAAATAGCTGTAACTTCATCTTTGCTATTCTTGTGCCACATCCACTCCTTATGATAGTATAATTTTATTGTGTCCAAAAGCCAGAGTTCAAAGTTGGTCTATTATTTTGAACATTGTTAAGTTGAAGAAAGGAGATCTTGTGGTCATTTCTCTGTAGCGCTGATGGCGGATCAAATCAACGTTTTCTGGTATCAGTGATCAACTGTCAACTCAAGGCTTTCCTGCACATATTGCATTTTGAGATAAATTATTTCTATTGGTTTTGAATTCAAAGAGCAACTTTTGCCAAGTCAATTGCAGTAAAAAGTCTTATTCTTGACTTGGATTCATTTATTGATGGATATGCCAGCAAAAAGTTCATTCAAATATGGAATTCCAGCTTACCATATTTATTTTTATTGTTCATAATACTACACCTATCATATTAGATCATAGCATAGTCATATTCTAAGACTCAAGTAGTGTTCATATAAAAGAATGTGCAAGAAAAGCTTCATTTTGGGCTAAAAACCAGCAATTTTCTGTGGCATTCCGCTTCTATAGCAGATTTCGCTTCCCAGATAGTTTCTGTATATTATTTGATATTCAAAGTATTATCGAAATGCTCTTCTTGGTTCTCTGTAATGTGAACCTCCACCGGTAGACGCTGTGTTGAAGCAGCGTTAAATTTACTCGAGGTAGGGATGATACGGCGGACATGTAATGGGATTGAATTACTGGTCGAATTACTACTTTCTCCCCGAGATGTATCAAAGGCATCAACGAAGTGACTTGTACCATCTGGGGTAATCAACCCAAACTTAATTTTTCGATACACCAGGCATGCCATTGCGCTGGTAAGAGCCAGTGCAGGAACTGTTCCCATCGCTTGCGCTGTAGACGGAACATTTTTAAGCCTGAGTATCACCAGCAAAACAATTTCACAAGACACAGCCACCCTGATAAGGATTAGGACAGGCTATAAGGAAGGGACAAAAAGGACAGGCTCACAGATAAAAATGCTGGCCCCCACGCAAGAGATTTCTCGAAACTACAGGAAGAAATCCACGGCCAAGGAAAGCTTTGATAAGAGATCTATAACCTTTCTCTACTGACGAGTTTGTGAGAATCCTGTATGTGATAAAAATAAAAACAGCGCTATCATTGATTATGGAAACGACAACAACGGCTTGTGCAAAGCTTGGCACCTTGGTGCTAATACAGGCAGTGGAGTCGCCAATGCGAGCACTCTTGATGCCAAATGGAACAGCTGTTGAGGTCCCAACCACTCCTAGCCATAATAAAGTGAAAAGAGCAACAATAAAACGCTCTCGGTTCCATACTGCGATGACTCGGAAAAGGAATAAAAGAGAAGTGGAGGCATGGCTGAGGACCAATAAAATTCCAAGGGTAATCTCAACGACTTGACAGTCAGGTACATTCCCAACTGTCAAAAAGTTAGACTAGAGATGCTATATTATTGTTTTTGTTACCTTGAAACATAAGTGTTGTCAAAATGTAAGCTAAGGTTGACCCCCTGTAAGATTGGTGTATTTTAGTACAACTGGTGTTGATTAACAATGAACATTGACCTTGACATATAATAGACCAGAGTAGGATATCGTATCTTGTGTTTGAAAAGCAACTGATAGTCACTATCAAGGTGAACCACAATATCCCACATATATGCCTAGTAAACACTATATGACTTTCAAAAATGAATGAATTGTGAAGTAGTACATACACCTAAAGAAACAGAATACAAACAAGTTGAAGTTTGATACTGTGCAGCAGTTTCAGGAGGCAGAAAGGCAAGCGGTGTGTTTGGATTTAAGATTGGGCTATGAAATGGAGAATCTACCATTGTATGGTGGGGTACCAAAACATCAACTGTTGCATGACGCCAACATTTTATACTTACTGTGACCATAGGGTGACTCCACTTTGATTCAGATTTTTACCAGCATGACCTTCTGTAGAGCCAACAATCAAGCTGTATAGGAGTGGGAACCCAAGCGCAAGAGGCGCACTAGAGAATAACCAATCAGTTAATGTGTGGCAAAAATGATATGGTATCAATATAGTACTCCCAACTTTGGTAACTAATGCCCCACTGGGTTGTAGTTAGCCGAAAATAGCTGGATAAGCTGGCAGTCACCTCAAGCTGCTTAGCTTGGCTGGAGCTATTGCGTCCCATTCTTAGAAATTATTGGTGAGGTCGAGTTTACGAGGGCCCTCGTCTTTACTACTTGTCTACATATACTCAGTAGATAACGTCAGTCTGGTTTTCGAGACTACGTCTTTACTAAACTCGCTCGCTGGACTTACAAGGACATGTCCATTTAGCATCATTCCCCATTTATCCGATAGGTACTCACAGATTGGGTTAGCATTTATTGACATAAAATTATTTCACACGGCATTAAAGCCATCAAACTTTATGCTTTGTGGCTTGCGACTTACCAACAGCCAATTTCCACAACTTTTCTCATCGAAATATTTCGAACTTTTTCTTCCTTTCCGCAACTTACAGTGTGACATGAGATACAGCATTAGGTCATTTGTAATGAAGTTATAGAGTCTTAGAAGTCAGACCCAGAAACAGATATTATTTAAAATATGATAACTGAGGATAAATACATTATACTTCATATCTTTAAAATTATGGCTTCACTTTGTGATGTTGTATTTGCTCATAGCAAAATTAAATATCAAAATCTCTTTTTGGCTTGATTGTCAATATTCATTGTGGCCCACAAATGCATATTGGTTGTTGATGGTGCTGAGATGTGTACAAGCAATGGGAAGTAGTACAATTGCTTTGGGTTGGTGGTTGGATTGAGCTTTTATTTGATTGTGAATGTGCCTAATTTGATCCCCTTCCCCTTTTTTTTGTTTTGGCTTGGACTAGGTGCTGGAGTTATCGGAGATATTGCAGAATCTTTTCAGGGGGGTTTATGGGATTTATGGAATGCGACCATTGGTAAGTAGTCCTAATTTTCAGACCCTTCAGAATTTATGCTAAAGAATGATCTAGGTTGGACCTGCTATTGGACCAGTTATAGGTGGCACATTGAGTGGTACTCTTGCATGGAGGCAAGTGATTTTAATCACATATATATGTAAATCATTGATCAATGTATAGATCCATTTTATAGTTTCTTGTGATTTCAGCAGAGACTGCTTATTTGATTCTTATTTTGTAATTATATTTTCTCTCTTCAGTCTCCTTTGAACTCCCCATTCAGATTCCCCCCAGAAACCCTCTGCTCCCTAGTTGCAGTATCCAACTTCCTCCATCCTATAAGTTGAGTATGCATACATACATACTACTTATTACATCCATTCATACACCACTCTCCTTTCTGTGGTATCCACATGTCTACTACTGAATAGGTAAGTTATTAGAGGCATACTGTCCCATTTCCTTCAATTTGCTTGTCACGCATCACAGACCCTTTGAATTTGGCGAATTTTTGAAAGTGTTTTTGGTCACAGAGGCACTGAGGTGAAACTTACTACCAATTTGTCACAAATTCTTGCCAAATCAGGGAATTTTTGGTGAAATTTTTGTGTTGTCACATATCACACGGGTGTTTGGCGAAATTTTATTTCGTTTTGAGTGGTAATGGTCATGCAGGCATGGACAGTAATAGTGAATACCTTGGCAGGGGGTTGTAATCATATACTAGAACAGTTTTTGGTACCATCATCATGCATTTTCTTAGGACATGTGCAGCTCCAATATTATAGATGTTTGTAGAGTAGAAAGAGTCGGATGTAACATGCATCTATACACTTTGATCAAACAAGGTCAATCAGCTACAAAATTCAGAATGACAAACACTGGCAGCTGTTCAGCTTTAAACCATTCAATAATTCAATTCTGCCCAGAAAATAAAACATAGTGAATTATTTTAAAGCTATTTTGAAGTTGGGTCATACAATTTTAAAATAATACAGATCAGATTAGAGCACATCTGTTCCAGATTTTTTGAAAAGGAACCAGGGTTGAATAAATTGGTTTTTCCCTTCCAAGGTGGGGCTGTTCAAAAAAACTGTTGCAGATGGACTCTATTGTTTTGATTTTGATTTGGTTATATTGTTTATTTTTATGAACCATTAAGATAAATCAAAAAATCTGATCCATATTATTTTGAAAATTTGTGACCTAATTTCAAAATAGGTTCAAAATATTATGTTTTATTTTAGCTGCAACCAGGCAAAAATCAACACATGTTCAAAAGCCAGAACAAAACAAGTTAAAAGGCAGGCATGTTTTTTTTTTTTCACTGATTTTTCCCAGAATTTATTTACACCTTGGATTCATTTGTTCAGTAAAGGTGTATGTATGCAGGCAAAAATATTATCAAACAACAGAACTTGAAGTTACCACCGACGGGACTCGAACCCGCAACCTTCGCCTGTTCATCTTAGGAAAGCGACGCCCTACCATTGGGCTACGATGGCGCATTGTCCTAGTAAGGGAATAAAGATGGAGATTGATAAGCATTACTGCTTTGAAATTTGACTACCCAAGGGATCACACGCCTTGTCAACAAAATGAGGCTCGGATCATCATTGAGTATTGAACCCTTGGACCAGCAGCACATAATGCATAACCGCCTACGGCACTTGTGGAAATTAGCGTTTGCTGGTATGAATTTGAAAGCTGTATTCATGCGCATCGTGGTTTTGGGTAAGTAAAGAGAGGACAGTGACGCACTTTATTAATCATGCTATATATTAAAGTTTCTTTGTTCTCTGTCTTTTCTTCCCTTCACCTTTCCTTCTACGTCTTTCTCGGTCAGCGAGACGGGCAGAACTTGAACTCTACGTAACCTTCAATTTGCCACTGGAACATTAAATGTCAAAGCCAACTTCTGGTCGCAATGATCTGGCAAGATCGATGCACGACGACGTTTTGAATCCGAGTCCTTTACATACCTCAAATTCAAGCTCCGGATCTAAAGAGAATGAGACTTTGAATATTAATCCAGTATTTGACAATAGTAACGATCCGTGTCCCGGAATGACGTCGAGGACGAGGGAGATAGACGCGCCTGTTAGTCCTACGACCAGTACCCATGCAAGTGGGAGGGGAAAAGTCAAAAACGAGAGGGAAAAGGAAAAAGAATCCTATAGTGTTTATACAAGAAAGGAAAAATGGTTCATTGTGTTGCTTATTGCGTTTTCAGGGTTGTTTAGGTGCGACTTTTTTGCAAATCAAGTAGGTATGGAAAATCTAAACCAAAATTTAAAGCCCACTCACGGCGAATGTATACTTTCCTGCTATACTTATTGCGGACGCGTTTAATAAACCGACGTTATATATCAATCTTACAGTAAGTGTAATTACCTATATGCTGGATTTGAAACTGGAATTATCCTAGGTTACTATGTACATGGTTTTTCAAGGGATCTGTGTGTATAAGTCTCAGAATGTATTCAAACCTTGAATCTCAAATCCTTTCTATGCTATTTACTTTTCTACTTAGCCCCTATGTTCTTCGGCACCCTCTCAAATCACTTTGGCCGTCGAATCATATACATCTCATGTCTCGCCATCTTATCCCTTTCGTGTATAGGTCTAGCTTTGGTTCCCACGAATGCGTATTGGTTGTTGATAAGAATTATGAATACCAGATTTATAGGAGATATTGCAGAGCCTATTGGGAGGGGAGGATTCATGGGAATTTATGAAATGGGGCCGTTGGCAAGTCATGTTTGATTTCAAAGCTGTAATTATTACATTTTATATTTCAGACCTCCATGCTGCAGTAGTCCATATTCTAAACTGATAAGTACATTTCGAAGCATGAAAGGTACTTGACCCTAATTGCAGCTGACCTAGCTTCAAAAGCATCCCTGTATTCCTATTACCTGACTCGTATCAAACTTCCATTCATTTGTTCATTTCTTGTTGGGATAGTAATATCAGGCTTTGACTGTATGAGTATATCAAACTCCCGTCACTGACAGAGCCAGCTGTTCAATATTTATTGGAACTTGATGGGAGCTTGTCATGTTCCTGGACTAGGCAAATAGGAAAGTCCACTTCGAATTCCTTTCTGCAATGAGGCAGAACGTGGCAGGCACAGGTCGAGCCCACAAATCCGAGAAAGTTTGTATGGTCCTTCAGTTGGAAAAGTCTGTTTAGAAGAATCATCCACCTATGTTTGACGCAGCTTGTTCCGATTCTGATTCCAAAACTTAACCCAGACATTTACTACAAAATTCGTTCAAATTGAATCACACTGGATAAGAATCCTCAAAATAAACCCGATTCTTATACTGTATGTGGTGGCAAGATAAGGCCTGTTCCATTCAATACATCCTACAGCACTTAGTGACGGGATTGAGATATCGATATGTCACCGTAGCGGCAGTGCCCGAAAATGCTATGACAAGCTTTTGTATTGTTGGAGGAACGTGTAAAGACTGATAAGGCCTAGGTTTTTCAGACTCGAAACCTGCAGTTTGTTACCATTTTACATAAGATAGAGGCGCTTTATTGATTTTCTGGATTTATTTCTCTGGATATGAGCTCAAGAAGAACAATCAAGTGCAGGGATAAGAGGGGGAAGGAGCGGCTTGTGGAGGCCGATTCCAATCCTAGGATGAATGACATTGATTGTTATTTTTTTATATGAATCGAGGGTGAATGTGGCACTCAAGCGAAAGATGTATTGAATGCATGTCACGAATTATGATGTTTCTGCATATAAAACCAGGAACAACAGTTGCAAGTTAATACAAATAAGTGAAGAATGACACAGAGTGTCTGCCAAATATGCCCTGCAAGGGCGGAAAAAAATCAGGCCCCCGGGATTTCTGTCAAATTTTCCAATATATAAATGTCATTCGGAGCTGTTGAAAGTGCAGTCCTGACTCTTAAGCACCATAGTCTATACATATGTCACCAGGACAAGAATCTCATCCTCTCTCTGATTCTGATCTTGGTGTCCTCAAAAGTTGGATTTGGGTGATTGCAGTTAGTTTCCTTTCTTTAGGCGTCTATGCGACATTTTCAATCACAGCTATATATCAGTTCTTGTAAGTTTATAGTATTTTGACTAGATTTCTCAATAATATTGTTTCAAGGATAAAGGGGAACCATTCAAAAGCAAGGGCCAGGGTTCTATCGGTGATATGCTTTATGCTCCTCAGCTCAATAACTTCTACTATCCTTGAAACGGAATTTATAATACTGGAGATTCCACTCAATGGTTTTAACCTATCACAGTATAAAGTCAGAATAATCCCAACCCTTGCCAATATACACACTTTTATCGCTATACTCGATAGATTGAATGTAAGACACTGGGAAAATCCATAAAGCTGCTAACTAACTTTTGCTTTCCAATGTAGTTTGTAATTAGTGATGGCATTGTTGTTTGGAGATCGTGGATATTGTTTTCCAGAAGTATATTTATAAGAGTGGCTCTTTTGATCTGTATGATTGGGTCTTGTGGTACGTGTAGTGCCAATAGTTTATCATCTAATATCCTCAAAGTCCTCTGATTTAGCAGGGGCATTTCTAGAACTTGGCATTTCACCACGCTTTGAAAAAGGCCTTGAAGCAAGAGAAAACACCTTAATCTTGACTCTTCCTCTTCTGTTCACAAATCTGGTTTCCACAATGCTAATTTCATACAAAGCATGGTGAGTGCTTGGTGACTAGATAAATGATGTAAAATCAAAGATTTAAAGGTGTCATTTTCACAATATTCAAAAAAATTTGAGGATGACGAAAAGCCCAACCAGCAAAGTACAAAAAGTACTACACCTTCTAATTGAATCAGGAGCCATTTATTGCCTGGTGTGGGTATGTATGAGTATTCCAAGTACTTGCACTCAAATTCAAATCCAATTTCTACCATCAAGATCGTCTATCTATTAGTATTATCTCTGCGGTTTTCGCCTTTATTTGGTCAAATTTATGATTCGGCGATGCCGAAATTATCAGTGAGCGTTAAACTGTTTTTATAATTGTATTTTTCGGAGATTCTGAATTTGATATCCTTAGGGCCTATATCCAGTTCTGCTCATTCTTGCAGTTGGACTAGAGGATGATACTAAACAAGAGAATCAAAATGAGTTGTCCTTTTTAGCCACGATTAGATTTGCCACAATTAATTCTGAAATTTGAAGTCAAAGATACTTGATATATTACAAACAAATTCATCGAAATCCTAATTTTTTGGGTCATATTCAGTCTTCTGGGAAGTCGGATAATATAATCATTAATTCCTCCTGAATATTCACGACTCATATCCTTAAATTACTAGTATCAAGTACAATTTTTCACTCATCCAAATTTAACTCGTTTCATTTTGGACTGCTAATGCCCGCAGTATGTTCCAACGGCCCGGCTTAGCTAGGCCAAGGCTGGCTAGGTCACATCATGGTCAAGCCAGATAAAATGCATCCCGGCTCAACTGGCTAAAGCTAAGCTGACACCTTCAGCCATTCATGTTTGCTTAATGTTTTCAAGGCACCATTCAACGGTTTTATCAGATATTTTTTGCCGAGTCACGCAAATATTATTGGAGTATTTGATACAGTAATACAATTTGTATAGCGACTAATATGATTTTAGATTTTGGCTTCAGCGGGAGTCGCTCATGAGCTCAGCCAGGTCCGCGAACAAGCCGATCAAGCGGCTAGGCTTCTCACGGCTCGGCTTAAGTGCCCTTTTTTAGCCGGCTTGAGCTGCGCCGTTGGAACACTAGCCAACAGCCATACACGCCAAGCATTTTGTGTACTATTCCCTCAAAAATTGATTAATCAAGCTTCATTCACGCTCGTTACCTTACAGATTCAGTATGCTTTATTACTTCTGCTAAAACATTTCCTTTGCATTTCTAAAATTCTGGAAGGCATATTTGAAATTTCTTTGTAAAGTGTCAACTTGCTACATCTACCAGTATTTTAACCAATCTCTGGTGTCAGCTGTAATCAGCCAAAAAGTGGCCTGCTTGCCGGTGTAAAAGGATTTTCCAACATTTGATCCACCTATCTCTGCTGTATTAATGGTCACAGTTAGGGACCTTGAAAGAGACATAACCATGACTATGAACATTGTCTTGCATAGGTTGACAAAGGGGAAAGTTAAAACACTCTTGGTGTACCAAGATTTCCAGCAGACCTGAAAATTGTCAAGTTACTGATGTCCATTGGCACAGGTCTCATTATTTGTGGTAGATTACACATATTGCTCATTCTACTTTGATACTTGTTTTGAGTGTCATAAAGAATGATCTGATTTACATTCACATTTTCCTTTTACTAATATTCATTTTTACAGACAATTATTGTGGTATGTCTCTGTTTATAATCCCCCTTCACCATTACCTTATTCTCACGCCAAGAGCACATTTTATCTTCCATGCTGTTTCCACACCTTTTACCCCTAAATGCATCTGGTAGCTATACAATCTCTTACCCATAGTCTTTCTATTACAGCT